TTTCTTTACAGAAAGCCCGACGACACTGTATAAATACAATTAAAAGTGAATTGATGATCAACTGAACAAATTAAATCCTGTTGATTTTCGGAGACGATACCGTCTAAATGTAACTCACAAGTCATTTTAATTAAATATTAACAAATTTTGGGGATACTTTGATAAATAAACTCACCGTCGTTTTGGTTTCGATTGGCCGACACTTTGCGGGTGGCCCAGTTCGTACGAATGGCCCTACTTCCCAACCACTGGCCGTTCATCTGGCAAATCGCTATCTCGGCATCCTGTACGTAGATCCATTAAAAAAAATGTAGTTTGACAATGAAATTAGGCCTAAAAATTTGAAGGTACAAAAACAAAACTCTGGAATCTAACGGACTTTTCTTGTAAACTCTATAACAGGCCCTGCATTGGAGAACGTTCTAGACAGTCGAACTTCTCGAGAAAACAGGAAGCTCAAACGACATGGAAACTCTCCCAAAAACTTTAATAAACTATGGTCATTTTGCAGTAAATTTCTGGTACTTTCGTTGTTATGACGTCACTATAGATTAAAAAATATTTTCTCCAAATTAATGCAATAAGCATTTTTTCATTTACCCTAAAAAAAAAAAATGAAATTTAATAAATAAGACGTTACTGCTGGGTCTGGATATTAGGTAGGCTACTATTCAGTATATATATATATATAATATATCCACATTTAAAGTGCAACCATTAAAGTTCAAGTCGTTCATATTCACATCACCGCTCGTTAAGTATTTCTAAAACTTTGGATATACAAACACACAGATATAAAAAGGTATGTTAACTCGAATAAGGGTATTCCTTTATTAATATCACTACAGCAGGCAACATTTTTCGTACTACAGCAGGCAACATTTTTCGTGCTAGTATTACAACGTTAGATGTTCAATATTAAGTTAGCATTTTTTTTTATCTTTTCATAGTACAATTACCTCCAAGATTTAATGGCGAGCTGTCACATTATTCAGAAACACTATACCTTCCAGTTTACTGTCATGACGAAGAATTAAAAGTTTGAAAGAAGTAAAAAATAATAACGTGAAGGCGCTTTAAAGCATTTGAAGTATGATGGTTCTGAGCTTTCTTTGAAATTACGTAAACATATGCTATATTTAATAACCCTAAGATCAAGTAATTTATGGCTTTACTTAGCAACGTACAATGAGGCAAAAGAAATAGTAAAAACAAAACTGAAACTAACGGACGGCTCGATATGACCTAAAGCTATAAAATTAAGTTCTTAAATTAAAAAGATATTTACATATCGTAGCATGTGTCATTTTTACATCAAGATTAACAGCGGCTTTTTGTAAAAATACATATTTAGTTATTTCAAGATATTACAGCACGTACGAAGGCCAGACTGCCCCATTTTTACACCAGGATTAACAGCGGCTTTCTGTAAAGAAATGCATAGAGTTATTTCAAGATATTACAGCATGTTCGAAGACTAGGCTGCCCCATTTTTTACACCACGACTAACAGCATAGAAACACAGCAATCTCTATCCACACAACACACTGTAAACATAAGCGTACAACAGATCAATGCAGAGATTTATTTCACCACGAGAGATTCCGCTGCCACAGTTCACGCACTGATTTAAAAACTAGAACATATTAGACTTATGATGCACTAGAGTCTCACAAGTTCTAGGACACATTTATATTATCTTATTTGGTATACTGTATTACGAATTCTCTTTCATTAGACTCATGGTATAACAATAAGAGCGCCCCCTAGTTTAGGCTACACTCGAATGAAACTTCCATAACGCGATATATGCATGATGCTAAGCGAATTAAAGCACTAAATTAAAAACTGGCGAATAGCCGAACGCTAAAAAATCATGTTTATTTTCAGAGCCGACACTGTGTATATAAATATAACAAACAGGGATTTTTATATAACTATAAAAAATCAATCAACCATTAAAATCATGTTTATTTTCAGATACGACACTGTGTATATAAATATAACAAACAGGGATTTTTATATAACTAAAAAAATCAATCAAGCATTAAAATCATGTTTATTTTCAGAGCAATCTCTTTCCACACAACACTCTGTAACATGTACAGAAACACAGCAATCTCTATCCACACAACACTCTGTAACATGTACAGAAACACAGGAATCTCTATCCACACAACACACTGTAACATGTACAGAAACACAGCAATCTCTATCCACACAACACACTGTAACATGTACAGAAACAAAGCAATCTCTATCTACACAACACTCTGTAAACATGTACAGAAACAGCAATCTCTATCCACACAACACACTGTAACATGTACAGAAACAAAGCAATCTCTATCTACACAACACTCTGTAAACATATATGTGTTTCTGTACATGTTACAGTGTGTTGTGTGGATAGAGATTGCTGTGTTTCTTTACATGTTACAGTGTGTTGTGTGGATAGAGATTGCTGTGTTTCTGTACATGTTACAGAATGTTGTGTGGATAGAGATTGCTGTTTCTGTACATGTTACAGAGTGTTGTGTGGATAGAGATTGCTGTGTTTCTGTACATGTTACAGAGTGTTGTGTGGATAGAGATTGCTGTGTTTCTGTACATGATATGTCACCAAAGAATACTGTACATAGTATTGGTACTTTTTGGTATAGTGTGACTACTGAGTATTGAGATAAGATGTCATTAGAGAATACTGTACAGAGTTTTGGAACTATTTTTGTATTTTGTGACCAAGTAACAGAAGAAGGCATCTAAATGCCATCAGGTGATACAGATTGTATCATTCTATACAGGTAGAATGATCAAATTGCTTTAGGAGTTTGCAGGTATCCAGGTACCATTCCCTTGGTATGGAGATCACCAAATTCATTTCTGTCATTTTGGAAGTAATCAGATCATTTGTTTTCTTATTTCGGAGGTAATCGGGTGATTTTCCTGTCACAAAGGTCAGCGTCAGACATGGGTAATGATGAAAGTAGTTATGAACTGGCTGTTACATAAATTATTCAGTAACATGTACAGAAACACAGGAATCTCTATCCACACAACACTCTGTAACATGTACAGAAACACAGCAATCTCTATCCACACAACACTCTGTAATAATATAGGTTCTGTAAAATGGAACAACATAGTTTCTGAACAATGTACATAGTATAATTTCTATTAACAATGTAATAATATAGGTTCTGTAAAATGCAACAACATAGTTTCTGAACAATGTTTATAGTATAACTTCTGTAAAATGCAACAATGTAAAAGATATCAACTTACCTGAAAGTCCTTGGTTTATACCACCACAGTAAACTGTACAATTTGTTGGGCTTGACTGGTTGTAGACTTCATCAAATGTAAGGATTTTAGAGTTACCTATGGATAAAGCACTTTTGTAATTAATAAACTGACGCTGTTAAATCAGAGTTGGCATGTCATACGTCTTTATATACCCATACTCTAATACATCTATTCTAAAAAAAAAAAAAAAGATTCGAGCCACAACTGTTAACTGTAATAGCAACTTCATTTTTTTTATTCTACAATCATTCTCCTTTAAAACATTATTATTTGTATTTCAACGTTTTAATAAATATCAAGTAAACGTACCTTAGTTTAGTGGTATAGTTACCACAGGAAAGTCTTACAAGACGTTAATTGAGTTGTATAATTACAATAGAGAAGCTTTCCTGTACATTAGTTTAATGGTGTAGCAATCTCAATAAACCACACACGTTAATTCTGTAGCTTAGTAACTGTTAGAATGCCTTTTTCGATTAAAAAAAAAATTAATCACGGTAATTTTTTTCTCTAACTTGTAACACCATTTTTAACCGATACATATGACAGGATCACACACGTGTGGTACAATAACTGCAAGTTGTGTTCGACCACAATTCTGTACTGAAACCATAGTTTAACTTATGGTATCTCATCTTGATTCACGCAACTGATATAATAGTATCTTTTGTCTGAAACTCAAAGAACCAATGGTAACAAATGATATCAATTGATACAATGTAAAAAACTCACCAAAAATAATGTTTGTTTGTTTTTTAATTTCGCGCAAAGCTACAAGAGGGCTATTTGCGCTAGCCATCCCTAATTTAGCAGTGTAAGACTAGAGGGAAGGCAGCTAGTCATCACCACCCACCACCAACTCTTGGGCTACTCTTTTACCAACGAATAGTGGGATTGACCATCACATTATAACGCCCCCACGGCTGAAAGGGCGAGCATGTTTGGTGGGATGGGGATTCGAACCCGTGACCCTCAGATTGCGAGTCGAGCGCCCCAACCACCTGGCCATGCCGTGCCCAAAAATAATGATAATACCATTGCAATAAGAGAAGGAGTAATATTACCAGATGTAACTATTAACTTACCGTTCGGTTAAATGATTTCATCTTTTCATACGGTAACCATAAAAACAATGCAGTTACTGAAAGTGAAACCCACATTATATATAAGGTAAAAAGGGGCATCTGTACAATCTTTCAAAGATAAGTTGTATTTTACCAGGGCACCAGGAGGGAGCACACCTTAACCAAATGGGCCAGGGAATGGTGTGGGATCATGAAACAGACTCTATATTACTACAATTAAGTTTTGTTTCACCACGGCACCAGGAATGAGTGCAACTCAACCAGATGAACCAGGGAATGGTGTGGGATCATCAAACTGACACCATATTACTACAATTAAGTTTTGTTTCACCACGGCAATAGGAAAGAGTGCAACTCAACCAGATGAACCAGGGAATTGTGTGGGATCATCAAACGGACACCATATTACTACAATTAAGTTTTGTTTCACCACGGCACCAGGAAAGAGTGCAACTCAACCAGATGAACCAGGGAATGATGTGAAATCATCAAACGGACACCATATTACTACAATTAAGTTTTGTTTCACCACGGCACCAGGAAAGAGTGCAACTCAACCAGATGAACCAGGGAATGGTGTGGGATCATCAAACTGACACCAAATTACTACAATTAAGTTTTGTTTCACCATGGCACCAGGAAAGAGTGCAACTCAACCAGATGAACCAGAAAATGGTGTGGGATCATCAAATGGACACCATATCACTACATTGAAGTTTTGTTTCACCACAGCACCAGGAAAGAGAGCAACTCAACTAGATGAACCAGGGAATGGTGTGAAATCTGCTTTATGTAAGGATGCCATGTTGTTACGATTAATGCGATTAAGAGCTCGATAGACGATGAGAAAATAAAAAAATTACAAGTGT